CATGCAACACCATGTCTCCTGTTGCAATGTCTCACTTACTGGTAATAGGGGACACTTCTTCTATCGGTCCGTATGCTCCCATCCGATCTTCACACTAATTGCACAGTAATTTTGGTCTGACTAGTGCCCATGTACTTGATTTGGAGCCTTAGCATCAGTGTTGTTAATGTATTCCCGGCAAGCGGTTTCGCTTCCTGTTTACTTGCTAGCAAGATATCCTACATTGCATGAGATTTTCTCGCTAAAACATTTGGAGGAATACTTAGACTTCTTCAATTGTTTCCCTTTTGACCCCAATCAGTTTTTGACTTTTCATGTCAAAGGTCAGCAGGGAAATTTTCCTTACATTATGAGAAATTCGTTTCCCTGGACGTATTTCTCATATTTAAGTCTTAGCTCATCATAATATGCTGAGTCCTTTTTTGGCCTGTTTTCTGACCAGGCTGTTATTTTTATTTTTTTTTTTTTTTGACGGTGACTTATTTTGTATTGGCACCGTCAACTCATCCAAATTATCCGCCATGGTGGAAAACTAGAAGGTGGAAAATAAAAGTCAATAAGCACAAAATAAACAACAATTAAATAATACGAAAAATGGAACTGAAATTAAAATGAGAACAACAATACAAAGAAACAAACTTAAAAAAAGAAAAAGTAAACAAATGAAAACAAGTACACACAAATACAAAGGAAAACTAAGAAACTGAAACGTTCAACAAAATAAAAGTAATAAAGTAAAGTTTGTAGCCAGATAAACTTGGGCTGAAGCAAAAATGTAACACGACACACTCGATGGAAATCACAAGTGACTTTCTTGCTCCCTCAGTCTATCTCGAGTTCTATCTATATAGTGGTGTGGTTATTAGCCTAACCAATCCCACTACAGAAACCTTACCAAAATGGTCTACTCCCGAGTATTTTAGAAGTATGTGTCTCGTGCAATGCTAATAGGAAATTCTTTGAGTCATTCGCAGAGCAGAAGCATATATAGATCATGCATAATCAATTCATAATAGGCAGCCAGAGATGTATACAGAGCTAGTAGACGAGCTGTTAGGGATGCACCTAGGGGTTGCCAGAAGACTCCACAATTAGTTCGCCCAGTCAGTTCTTTCTAAGTATATTCTGAGAACACAGTATAATCCGTTTTTGAAATTTTAGCAGCAGCGAAGTTAGTGACACACCCATATTTTAAGTATCAGATATCTCTTACTGCCTCAAGAGAATAAAAGAATTTACTGAAGTCGAGCCACATAAGTTTGATTGATGCAACTTTTATATTTTCTCATCATTATTAAATTGTTGATAGCTTTATCAACAGTTTGTTCTCTCTGCTAGACATTCCTCGCCTTTCAGGAAGGTTGCCCGAATTATGAAAGTTGCTAGGATCGAAAGATTGACTGGGTCACAAGCAAAACTCCATGGCCTGTTGGAATAAATAAAAAGGTACAACACTTAGTTCATCCTGGCAGGTACACAACATAAAAAACAAAAGGATTTTACTAGACAACTCAAGTCCGGTGAGGGAGACGAACAACAGAACTAGCCACGTCCAATTCACATATCTTTCACCAAACTGTAACACCTGGTATCGTGATTACTGGCTAAAGTTCACATTCAGTATACAGTGATTAGAATAGCCAATCATATCACGTTTGTGGCACATTTGTCAAGTGGCGACCGGTAAAGGCATTATAAATCATCTTCACACTCCTAGAACATAATGCCTGGCCTAGACACTGCACTAACTTGCATGCTTATTCACCCACTCCTTCACTCAACCACAAAGTTCAACCATTCAATTTTTACAGGGATTCGGTCTCTCAGGAATTACGTTGAACACTCTCTATAGTAAAAATCCCCACTCAAAATATCATTTTGTTTATTCTTTTATTTGTCTAAATTCTTATAACCAGATCAGCACAAGAGTTCATAAGCACACAGCACATTTTCTGCCTCAAAAACTACAAAAAACAATAATAGCTTATGCAGATGTAACAGCAAGTAACTGGCACTTTTCAAGAAAACACTCTTTTTTTGTGTAAGATCACAAACTCTAACAAAAAGAACTTCTTGCAAATTGTTCAGTAAATAGGACTTGTCTTTGTTTTATGGAGTTGGAATCTGTTGTTAATGAAAGACATACTTTTTCTACAGTCAGAATTTTATTATTTTCATTCTATTTTGTGGAATTAAATATTGTACTTATGTATTTGTTCTTATTCTGTATATATCTTTTCATATTCTCGCCGACTTTCTACTGATAAGATTAGAATAATAATAATATCGGAAAACATCCCCATTAGCCTTTTAAAACTGACACTGTTAGACAATGTAAATGATGATTTTTGAATGCTAAATAAAATTTGAAAACAAGAAGCATCTGATGCATGAAATAGTATAAATCTTACATTAAAAATCGTTCCATTTCTTGAGATTGTGTTTCAACTATCTCGCTGGAAAGTGATTAGTGTAGTAAGTTTATACCACAATAGCAGCATGAGGCTGTCGTAGATATACCAATGGTTGGTACCTTTAAAAACCTATATTTTCAAAAAGTAACACTTTTTCTTTCTCTTTGTGTAGGATTACAAGTTCTAATTGGGAAGTATTCCTCTCCAGCTGGTCAATAAATAGGACTTCTCTTAGATTTAGACATATAAATGTAGACATACATACTTAGAATCTGCTATTAAGAAAATGTGTGCCTTTTCCACATTCAGATTTTATTATTTCTATCCTATTTGGAGGAATAAGTATTTCATAAAATGCCACCTATCAGGTATTTGCATTTTTCTATACCATCAAAATTATTTTCCAAAAGTTAAAAAAAACATTTTTGATTGTATTGATATCCGTTCACTTAAAACCATATATTCCTTCCATCATAGAACTAAAAATAACAAAAAACAAACAAAAAACAACAATTCAATCTGGAAGTTAAAATTAAACTTTCTAAAATCATCTTATAGTCTTTGCTCTATCTTATCCTAAGATCTAGAAGAACTCTGCCTTAGCTAAAGACTGAATGCTACATAGATTTCTTGTGATAGCAAAAGATATTTTTCTTTCTGTAGCACACTGAATGCACACTTAATTCTAAGCATAAATAACAATCGTACTACCTTTCACGTTTCTTATTGTTACTAAATCGTCTGATTAATGCAAGATAATCTCTCATATCTACTTTATTTGCTTACCCATCTACCACGGATTGTTGCCTTCTACCTGCTACTTCTGTCGACTAGCCAAATCTCACTTATATCCTCTTTGTTTCATTCGACAATGCCTGTTATCTAAATTTTTATTCATGGTCTCTGGATGCTTTCAGGCATTATTTCTAAAACTTATTTACCATCTTCAGGATTGCAAAAAGAATATCAGATTTTCAAAATCAAATATGATTTGCTGACATATGTTTGTATTTTTTTAAGTATTTCACCCCAAACAAGGCGGTAGTGCCACCAGTACGCAAGGGGCTATAGAGAGTGTAAGTAAGGGAAAAGACTTTGAGGAAAGAATAAATAGAAGAACGGGGATCAAAGCAAGAAAAGATGTCAATTAACATTACATTTAAATTTTTGAAGATTATAGTTATCAGGGAAGCAAGTAAGAAGAAGAAAATTCCACTGTTGGGAAGTGTGAGAGAAGAAGCTGTTGGAGTAGAAGAGGCGGTCACATTTAACTGTTTTGACATTAAAAGGCTGGGAATTAAATGTCAACCTAATAGCATGTTAAATTCATGCAGTTGGGGTACCAGTGAAAATAGCTCATCAGAGCAAATGCCATGAAACTATTTATAGAAAAGACAGATGGAAGAAGCTACATATGTCGGTGAGAAAGTTGACTGTATTCGAGACTCCAAATCAGGACCGATCACACTGCATATCTGTCTTTGGATTTTGTCGAGAACCTACAGATGATCAACAGGGGCACCAGACCACATATAGCAACAATATTCCATGCATGGACGAATGGTAGATTTGTAGATGTGAAGGATGTACTCAGATGAGAAAAACTTGTGGTGGATGCAGCTATTGATTCAATGTGGTTGTTCCACCTCAGATCAATGGAAAACGTGAGACCAAGAAGGCGCTCTCGTGGAGTTGAGCATCAATCATGCTGATAGGAGGCAAGGGAGTTTCTCTATGGCGAGTAACTGACAGCAATTTAGTTTTGGGTGCATTAAAATTCACAAGCCATTTCCTGTCCCAGTCAACCACAGATTGTAGGTCGTTTTCAAGACCAACGGGTAGGTTAACTTTGTCAGCAATGCTAGATTTACTATTGCAACAGGAGTAAATGGTAGTATCGTCTGCATAGATGCCTACTTGAGAACTGATGAGGTTTGGAAGATCATTATTGAAGATCAGAAACAGTGTAGAACTAAGAATAGAGCATTGAGGAACATTAGCGTTTGTATGGCATGTATCTTTCATGTAAACTGGTAGCTTTTTTTCTTGTAATATTGAACCAGACAAAATTTCCCTTTCACTGTGTTGTGAAAACAAATATATGGTTTCGTCAATTTGTTCCTTTTTTGCTAACTTCAGACATTTTCTTTTTAATACATGTGAATTGTCTCTTTAGTTGATAAATTTGTCAATAATGACTATTATTCATATTGGACACTTGTTTTTCTTCTGTAATTTTGTCACTCTTTCACCACTATCTAGACGGCATTAAATTTCGCCTGTGTTCACTTTCTTTTCACAGACTGGGGAATGGCAATTAACCTGTTCACCCAGTGTGCAAAATGACTATCAAAATTGAAAAATTCTGTTGAGTAATATTTATAACTGTACATGTTTTAATGGGTATTAAAGTTTAAGTGACTCTATTTTATTATTTTTAAACACTTAAAAAAAAAAAGATTATATAAAGAGAAAATGGTGAAAATAAAAATTTAAATCCAAATTATTCTAACAAAGTTTCATTCCTTATGATTGTTCATTTTGCATAAATACCATGTTTAACTGTATCTGTCTTATTCTATTTAGCAAGTATCCGTTTAATTGGTGGTCAAAACACAAATGAAGGACGTGTTGAAATTTACCATCAAGGACAGTGGGGCACCATCTGCAATAATAACTGGGATATGAAGGAAATCATTGTTGCATGCAGAATGTTGGGATTCAAGTAAACTTTTACATATTTCTAAATTTCTGGAATCAACTTGAAAATTTTTTTCTTTTTACAAATGATTAAAAAATCAATAAAAAAATCAATAACTATTTCAGACTGGTAAGAGCACACAAATCTAATTTATATATTCTAGAATATTAAATAAAACTATAATATATTTTTGACAACTCTATTTTCTTTCAAAAATATTGTTTGGTCATTTGGTTAGATTTTAGAAAGTAAGTTGGGCTTTTTGGAACCCTCTTGTATATATCTTTTTTATTTATTAAAAAATTAAATTAATATTTTGTAAAGAAATGAAATGGATGCAAGTCGGACATGATGCATTCAAATATATAATAGTAAAATTAATTTAAAGCTAAAAATATTAGAAATTAAGTAAACTTGCTTTAATGATTGACTGATGTTTCTTTTTTCTTACAGGAAAGGGAATATGCTTAACAGAATTATTCCAGGCATTGGAATAATATGGTTATCAAATGTTGATTGTAGTGGAAGTGAAATATCTTTGGAGCAATGCAGTAAGAGTGATTGGGGTGTACATGATTGCCAACATGAACAAGATGTAGCTATTATTTGTCAATAGACAAGATATCCTAATGGTCAGTTTGACTCTATATTTTTCACTCATTTTAATTTGTCATGAAGACACCTGTTTCATCATAAATTTGTAAAATATCAATTATTAAATATATTAAAAATTGTCAAAGCAAAAATGAATTACTAAGAACAAACATTCCAAATAAATTTTAAATAAAGTGAATCATAAATGTAAATGGGAATCTTGATTGATTGATAGTAGGATTCCAAATTTGATTGATGATAGGCAACCAAAACTTGATTGATAGTAGGGATCACAAATTTGATTGATGATAAGCATCCAAAACTCAAATTTATATTAGGGATCACAAACTTGATTGATGATAGACATCCTGAACTTAATTGATAGTAGAAATTTCATTATTTTTGCATGTTTTCATGGTCTAAAATAGGACAGTTTGGGATACCTACATATTAGTAAGATTGGAAAAGTATTTCCATTTTACTTGAAAAAATCTATGAAAGAAGATCTATTTCTTGAAAAAGAAGTGGTTGGAATAAAATACATTGATAAAATGTTTTTGTTGTTTTAAAATAATTTTTTAATTTATTTTTATTGTAAACTTTAGAAAATTATTTTACATAAGTGGTTGATGATCCAAAATAAAATGAAAAAAAAAAAAAACAAAAAATGAATTAAAGTGGTCCTTTTCAAAATAAAATGTTTTTGTATATGATCAAATTTTAAAAAACATTTTTTTAATTTATTTTAAAAATTAAGATTATTTGTGTTTTATATTGAGGAGACAAATATGAAGGTTTATATTTTAAACAAACCTCAGTTTTATTTTGTTATTCCAGCTGAGAAACGTTGTTCTAGAGGTTAATTGAATTTGAAGCTGTCCTTATGATCCAAAGTTCATTGAAAATAAAAAAAAAAAAATAAATTTCTTCAATTAAATTGTACTTCTTCAAATGGAATTAAAGAAAATTATGCCTGTTCTTGGGGATAATTAATTTCCTTTTCAAAATTTTGAGAATGTTCACAACATGTTTTGAATTTTGTATATTTGATCAAATTAATAATTAGCCAGGAAAAGAAAACATTTCAAAAACAAAAAATTAGCAGATACAGACGATAGAAAAAAAAAAAAATTACCTGTGTCCTAATTTGCACACTTTAACTAAAGGGTATTTCCCTGATAAGGATGCCAACCCCAGAAGATTATTTTTGTTCTTAAAAAAGTATGCCTCCTGATCAACAATTTAAAATAACAGGCAAACAATGAGCTACAAAAAAAATAAATAAATAAATTAAAAAAAAATGAAGGTTTATAGTTTGTTTAAAAAAACTATTTAAAAGATATTTATTTTATAGAATTAAAATGAAAACTTATATGTGTTTTTAAAGGACTGTCAAGGTGCATAAAGAAAATATAAACATGTGAATGACGGACTTCGACAACGGATACGGAGAGAATATTTTATTCGACTCCTCACTCACTACACAGTATAAACAAACGTTGAGTTTTTCAGGGAGATAGCTCACATAGATTAACAGTTCTTCCCTCTTTTCTCTTCTTTTCAGTTTGGAATCATCTAATCTGCAAAAGGTATTTACATTATACAGATGATTCCTTTGGTTCGGACAAGGATCTTTTACTCCTTTCTTTGTGTTTGTACATCAGTTGATATCCAAGGATCTCTGATGTCAATCATTTCTCTCAAAATAGCCATCTCTAGCTCTTATCCAAAATTTGGGTTATAAACGAAAGATCTTAATGCAACATCGTTCAATTGCAGTATTTCTAACAAAAGTTTTCGATAAAAAAAGGCTTCTGCCATGTCTTTTAAAAAAACTCTTCTAATGAGGCAATGTTTACTTCCATTGCTTCCAACTAAAAAAAAGTATATAGCCTGTGAACCTCCAGTTAAATTGCCAAAAAGAAGCATCACTGTATGCAATAATTTTTAGGTGCTCAAAAGTCTGGAATATTAGAGATTTCTCCTTTTTTGCTTTTTTACCACCCTGTTAGCCTGTTTTAAACATTCTACATTTTCTTGTTTTAGTAAGCTTAACAGACATCATAACTAAGATCGGGTCTGGTTTGGGTGGCTAACCAATTAAGTTGTCCGATCAGTTGCCTGTTTTAACCTCTGTTGAAGATAATTAATTTTGCCTGGTTCTAGTGGGATACAAGCTTTTTGACATATTCGTCCAAGTTTAACAAAGTTTTCTTTATGCTTAATCCTATAAGAACTCAAACTTCCCAGATTTGATCCTAAACAGACGAATCCTGTCCATTTTCTGAAAAAAAGCCTGCAAAGCAAAAAAATCATCAACAGAGTTTTACCATGCAGTTTGTTTTTCCATGTAAAAAGGAAATGCTCCTCAACGATTTTGTCTCTTGATGCATCAGTGAAACATTTGCAAACATATTGGAGCCTTGGCTTCTTTGGGAGGATGCAAAAGATCAATTGTCCAACTCTTTGCTCTGTAAAATGCTGTTTTTTGTCCATTGATTCATAATGTTGATGCCATTATAGCCCAATGTCATTTTAGAGCATGTTGGAGAAAAATATTGCCCGTGAAAGCCTCTCGCAAGAGCTTTACAGACTGTTTGCCATTGACATTTTTATTAGTATAAACCATCTTGTGGATAAGCCTTGGTCAGGATGTAAACTTTATTTTCAACCCAGCTTTGGAGTTCGTTTTCTTGCCATTTCCAGGTCGTGATTAGAAGAAGAAATCATAATGTTTTCCTCATCACTAGAGGTAGCTTCATCCTTATTTATTGGTCTTTTATTTGATTTCCATTCCAAACTCCATGATTGAAGTCTAGCCAGAAGGGTTCACCTTGTTCCATAGCCACATTCATTAAATGCTTTTTTACCTGTAGCTTTTTACTTATGACGTTCAATGTTCGCCATTCCGAAATTTAATGGATTTCCTGGATGGAAAATTGTTTTGAGAATTGGATTTAGTTTTAATTCCTCTCAGTCTGATGTTGGCAACATGATCATTCAGAGTTCCTGGTTCTTCAAGAAGATCGTTTTCGTCAGACATTGATAAGTTTGAAGATCCTTCAGGCTCAATTTAAAATAACAGAACTTTGATATGTTTCTGAAACACATGTATGTGCCCCCATGTTTAAAAAAAAATGGAAATAAATAAATTTAAAAAACAAAAATAATGTTTATAGTAATAACAAATAATGTTTAATTTTTCCGAAGACTCACACAAAAAATTGTTTTCTATTTAAAGGTTATATATATTGGTAGAGACACCTTCTAATGAGGGAGTTTATCATTCAAAAAGGAGGGCAAACATGAAGAGCACGAAAATTCTTTATATGCTAGTCATATTTTATTCAACAGTCTTTTTGACCATTTCTGGATCCCATTGTGTCGTTCAGCCATTACATCCAGGCTTTCAGCAGCAGTGGATTTAAATGTTGTCACGGAAATCAAAAAATAAACATTTTGCTATCCAGTGTTTAAACATAGCACTGATGATGTCCGCATGTACATTTATGGTCAATTTTGTTGATTACACTTTAATATTAAAATTAAAAAAATAATGGGAATCCAACAATAGGTCTAGGTTCGTTTTTTATATAGCGAATGTGTCAGGAAAATTTAATTTCTTACTACTGGGATGACTAAATATTGATAACAAGAAGAATGTGTTTAAGGGGTCTGGTGATTTTTGACCAGACTTTTCTCAATGGAATTTTCTTTTTTTCACACTGTCATGTTCAAAATTGAGACAGGTTCCAGCTCTTTTCATTGCATCTTTTTAAAATGTTGAATTTGAATCCACAACATCGGTAAAAAGGTCAAATGAAAGGATAATTTATTTGTTTCCATCCCCGAACATTTTTTTAAAAGTTTTGCACATAATTATTTTTTTATGTTTCGAGAAAACATTCATACCATTTTTTTTCCACAAACGGTGCCAGATTATCAATGCCATTTGCCTCGCGTTTTTGCTGACTCATCAACACAATGTTAGCCAGATACAGATAACTTTCGTGTTCGTCGTCCTCATGTTTGTCCCGGGTATCGAGACAGGGCAGTCGTAAGACCAGTGAAATTTGCAGCCACATTTAATTCACACAGGGTTGCCTTCGGGTCCTAGCGGGTTTATTTTGTTTTTCAAACAGTGTTTTTTTTGTTGTTTGCTATGTCGTTTTCCACCGCGGTATGTTTTTGACTATTAAAAAATCACGGCGGTGGGAAGAGCGACCATAGTATATAATAGGTTCAGTAAAGGCAATAACATCTTCCTTCTTGACCACTACGGGTGTAGAGTTCATAGATGAAAGACGGCCATATGCATAATCTTCTTTAATTGTGCCGACATGGAAGAGAGTGTCAGTTCGCCGACAGTCGCCTTGACTAGTCTTTCATTTTCAGGGTTTCAATGCCCTGAATGCACTGTTCAGGCAGGATGATGTTGAAATCTTTCAACTTAGCAACGTGTCGGTGAAGTTGATGAGAAAGTCTTCCACTGATGTTTAGGCTGTCTTATCCTTCGAAAGTCTCGTAGGCCAGAAAGGCCGACTGGTTTATATCTTCCAAAAAAAGCGTGTCAATTTTTTCATACAGTTTGCCATTCCATCCTCAGAATTAATGCCGCAACATTTCCAATACAGCTTCATCCTGGGTTTTCCAATACAGCTTCTCTGGGTTTTTTCCTTCCAGTGAAAGAAATACTATGGGGCGCGTTTTGTTTTGTCAAGCGATATGGCCATTTCCAGATTTGCATTTCTTTTTCCACGTGCTGTACTTGTCTTTAACTAAGAAAATGTATAAAAAATAAAAGTGTGCATAAAGAAAAAATATAAACATGTGAATGACGGACTTCGACAACGGATACGGAGAGAATATTTTCCTAAACAAACACTTCCGACCGGAAGTCCTTTTGAGGGAGAATATAGATTTTGTAACATATTTTATTCAACTCTGGACTTCGTCAGTTACATAGGCCAGTGGATATGTTGTAAATAAAAATAAACATTTTGTCATATTTGAGCATGTACATTTATTTTGTTGATACACTGTATTTAAAATTAAAAAAATAATGTATACATGTGTCAAAATTTAGCAGACATATTGATTGCTAGTTTAATGATTTTTCTTTTAGTAGACGTTTTAATTGCCATTTGCTTTTAAAATGTTGATTTGGCAGGAAAAGGAAAGAAAGGATAACTTATTTGTTTACTTTGCACATATATAGTTTTCTTATGAATCGTCTGGGCTTGGCCATGCCTTAGAGACACTTAAAAGGTGAATTCACACCTTTCAAACAGTGTTTTTTGGCCGTTTTTTGAAATGTGCATAATAGGCAGAAGAGAAGCAACGTCATCATCCCTTCCTCCTTCAACTCACTGTACATCATAACAGGGTGGGGTTAACGTTATCATGACAACTCAGCTGCGACAGAAAATGAAGTGGCAATCCTCATGAAGAATATAGTTTTTTGTAAGCATAAAATTGCTTTTCATATCCTGACAGAGTAAGGGTTAAATCAAATTTTTAACCTGCTTTTTAAGACTCCTAGTGGACGTTTGAATCTGTTACAAACTTTTAACAATTAAGAATAAGATGAAAATATCTGAGTTAGCCATTTCTTTTCTGCTGCTTGTAAATACAAAAAAACACTTTTTTATATATTTCATGATAAATGGCTGGTAAAATTCTCATAAAAAACTATTATTAGTGCAATTTCATGTATTATTCCTATTTGTGGTTTTTTACTGTAAATAAGGTGTTTCTTTCTAATTTTCATGAATTTTGAGCATTGTCATCTGTTTCCTTCATTGTATCATTTACACTGAATGTTAACCTTCATATCAGGCTTGTTCCCGAACGGGAGAAATTTCACAATATTTACACTACCATGTTATGGTGGGTAACATGGTAGTGTAAATATTGTTTATTTCTATTTAGTTGTTTCTAGTATTAAATGTTCATGAATACAAGTGGTCAACTTTCAACTTATTTTTCCAATAGATATGTGTGGATCATACATTCTTGCATGGCTGTATGAGAGACTTTCTTGTCCCTGGAGTGGATGTTTATATATCTGTCAGGTGGTTCCTTCCACATTCCAGGTGCAGCTAGGCTGAGCGCATGTTCACCTAGTGGGGTCAGCTACTGTCATCCTCTAAAGGGTGTGTATTTGCACGAGACACATAGTTTACACACACACACACACACATGCACACACACATATATATATATATATATATATATATATATATATATATATATATATATATTATTTTAGGATATTACATATTACATATTGCTCTACTTTGTATTGAGCCCTCTTTTAAATTAAATGTCATGAATGTTGGAATTGTACTCTATTTGTTCTCATCGTACCTGTTTTTTTTATGTTATATACTTTTCTCATACAGAAATTTGTGTGTGTGTGTGTGTGTGTGTGTGTGTGTGTGTGTGTGTGTGTGTGTGTGTGTGTGAAGGAGTCTGTCATCTGTCTCTGTTGATTTGCTATCTCTGTATGTACATCAAAATTCTACATAGTATCCATGGTACTGGAATTGTTGCAAAAAAAGAATATTTGTTTTCTCTTAATACAACAAAAACATGATTAAATTTTATAAAATTTTTGTGTCTCTTATTGCTTTCTTCATAAGAAATATTGATAATCACATTGCTTAAATATAAAAGATTGTAATAATTAAGTCATATTGGCATGCAACATCAGCTTTCAATGACATTTTTATATAATGTCAAGTCATGTACTTCTTGCCTTCATATTCTATGTAGCTTTATGAACAATTTTGGGGAAGGTTATCTTATGACAACATCCATTCCCACCATATATCATTATATTTGGTTTGGGCATATATTGACCTTCTGCAATGAATAAAAAAAAATGCAGTGTGTTGATGAATACAAATAAATCTTTATATAATAACACTGAAGGATAAAGTGAAAGTTGAAGTTTCAAAACTTCAAGTGTAAACATCCTGGCACATATGAGAGAGAGAGAGAGAGAGAGAGTTCAGAAGGAAGTAGATATATATAATATGTATGTATCCAAATATAGTAGCCACCTGCTTAACAATGTAGGTGAAAGAAGGTATGTATGTTTTCAAATGTAGCAGTGAACTGCTTAAAAGGTGGTAAAAGAACAGGTGTATGTTTTCAAAAGTAGCAGGATAGTATAACTGTCTAAATTTGCCAGTGAGTCAAACAAAATGTCATATTTTTGCTCTGGGTATGTTACAATATCAGAAAAAGGACAAAATCTGATTCAGGTTTTTTTTGTTTTTCCATCTCATTATATACAGTCTAGTGATCTGCTTAGAAATAATACTGCTTTGATTCTCATTGGCTCACAGCTTTATAACCTGATTGTGACCTGATTAATTGGTCAAAATATAACTTTGTGGTCTGGTGATTTTGAATATAAATCTATTTTTAGAGATGGTAAAATTTTGGTCTCCTTGTTATTATTTATTTACTTTTATATCACTAAAGCTTAAAGAACAGAGAATATAAAAATTACCTTTTTTGTTGTCTTGCTTCACTTCCTGGTTTTCTTATTTTGGTGACCTGCTCTAACAAGAACAACTATATAGCATGATTAAAAAGAGGTGTTTAATTTAATGATGTCAAAATATGGTACTAGGTTACCCAAAGTGACTTGACCTAGAAGTGTATGCCATGCTGTCTACAATAGAAGCTTCAACAATCACAAGTGTTTTTTCACCTACATTCTAAATATGATTATTAAATGATTGCATGAGGGGATGACCAACAGTTTTTTATCATTTTTGCCAATATCATAGGTACTTTAATTTATACCATGTAGCATTTTCATCTAAATATACTCAGATTATTTACATGTCACAAGTGCTAACAACAATTAGAAATAGCAATAGTTTGTGTTTGGCTTATTATTTTTCTATGTTTCTAAATTAAGTGATTCTAGCATTAATTTTTTTCATTTAACACAAAGCATGAAGAAACATACTTGGAACCCAACAACTTCCATACATGCATACAGAGATAACATAACAGAATCCAAACATACTCAAAAGATTACAATTATTACAGCTACAAAAATAAATATTTTAATTAATATGTGTATGATTAAAGTGTAAATCTGAAACTGTATTTTTATTAACTTCTGGGTAAAAATTAAGAAAATGAGATGAAAAAATTATCAAATAGAGGAGAAGCTAAATTGTTAATCTAATTTTTGTAAGTCAAACAAGTTAGAAAAAATGCAAATAGAATTCTTTATTTGATTCACTTGTCATAAACAATGTAATTTTTGTTCATACCAACATTCTTAATTGGAAAATTTTTGGTACACCAATTTGGCAGATACGCTGTCTTCAATAGCCATACCTAAATAGAGAAGAGAAAACACAATAGCATATTATTATGTGATAATACATAGTCATATTCATCCTCTGCTAATTAAATCAGTTTCAAAATTAAGAGGCATAAACTAGTTTTGAATGCCTATAATAATATATGTATATGTATATTTTGGCAGCATGTTTTCATTGAGATATGTTGATACATATTTCTTTTATTCTGAGAATAAAAGAAATATATATCAACACAGTGATTTTCTGTGATATATTTCTCATAACGGCACCAAAATCTTAACCGTGAATATGAAAGGATCCAATTGAAAATAAGTAGACAAAACAGGCCTAAATTATTCAATGAAATGTCTCTCTCTCTCTCTATATATATATATATATATATGCATTTTAAGACTGTTACTCCCTACAACTTTACACATTCCTCTAACTATATGCTTCAAATTTTATTGATTAGCACCAATTCATAAAATCCAGTAGAGAATAGAGTGTAATAACTGAATGAATTTTTAATTTACAAAAAAACAAAAAATAAAAAAAACATGCTTAATTTATTGGAAAATCCTTTATACTTACATGTGATTAAGTAAGAAAAAAGTAGGAAAACTTTACAAATTTAACATGTTTTCACTTTGATTTATAAATTCCATATTTTGTTTTCATTTTGTAGATATCACATGTTCATATGGAATTAATATCAATTTTAGTGAGCATCACATATTTACCTCATGGCCTTTGTGTGTATTTCTAATTCTTAAAATGTTAGTGTAATTCATATGTATATTCTGAAACTTGATCTCTTACACTACAAAAGTACAATATATATACAATGTCTTACACAACTCCTTATGATTAGATACACAACACATTTTAAAATGGCAATATATATATGCCCTTAATTATAAGTAAGCTTTTCATTAGTCAACTTTCATCATCATCATCCTTCAACCTCCCTATGGTTGGTCGGAAATCCACTGCCAATTCCTTTCCACACTGTTCGGTCCTGTATTGCTGTACCCAGATCCCCAATATCCAACACTGAGTCCTGAGCTATGGTGTCTGGGAAAGTCAATTTTTGTGAGAAGACATTTCCAGAAGGATACCATAAGAGTAAGGATGAGATGACTTCCCTGTCTGCTCAGTGGCAGTGGCCGGTAAACTGTAATCATTTTTGTTTGAGCTTAAGAGAAATTGGTCTGAGTTCTCAGTAAATTGTGTTAAGCATTGCATGGAATCTCTAACTGATGTTCTAGATTTTTCAAATTAGATTTTTATATATTCCATCCAGCAATCTTTCAAGATGATCAGATAATGCACAAGTTTCTGATCCATACAGCAGAACTGGTTTAATCAATCTATGAAAGATTTGGACTTTTAAGGAGAATGGAAGGTCCGAGCACCAAATCATGTGAAGTTTCTTACATGTATCCCATGCAAGAGCTTTGAAGATGTTGAAGTCTTTTTGGGAATCTATTATGTGAGATCCAAGATATTTCAAGTCCTCAACTCTTCAAATATCTTGACTTCAACTTTAATGGTTCAGAGGAGGTTGTGATATATTCTGTCTTACTCATATTGCAATAGAAACCAACTTAGTTCAATGTTTGCCTGAGTGATTGCAGCAAGGATTCTGCATCCTTGATACATTGAGAAATATATACAAGATTGTTGGCAAGGTCAGTCAGGTATTGTGGAGGGTACCAACTACTCTAGCAAGGTTTCAAAAGTAGTCCTTTTTTCTCCATGTTTTCAAAAGAAATATGCAGTATATAGTCCAGAATAACTATAAACAGAAAAGGAGCAAGTGTGCCACATTGTAGTTATCCTGATTTAACTTCAAATGAATCAGTATCACCAATAGGTGCTATAATGGTGGCAGTGGTATTTCTGTACAAAGCTCTAATTGACTCAACAATTCTGGGGGGGGGTATACCATAGAGTTGGAGGATTTTGAACATGAGATCTCTATTGATGGAATCAAATGCCTTGCAAAAGTCAACAAAACAGATTGTGACCTCTTTGTTGAGTTTTTCATCTCTTCCAGTATGTGGCGAATGGAGAAGGTTTGAGCAGTTGCTGACCTGCCTCTTTTAAATCCATTCTGGTTCTTGCAGAGGAGTGGATTGATGGTGGGGATTGTACCAGTATGAAGTGTGGTTACAAGCAAAAAAGAATGATAATTTTGAAAATGTAAGTTTCCTTTGGTATTTGAAACTCAATTTGTTAATTTCAACAAAGGAAAATATAATGCTAACAGGTACATGCAATTAGTCATTGGAGTTTGTTCAGTTATCTTCAGGTAATAAATATGTTCTTATCAAGAATTGAGGTTAAAAGTGGACAGTGTTGAGCAAAGTTTCCTGACATCTATTTCTGAAGAAAACAACGTTAGGAAGGAAAGTAAAGGAAGAAATAGAAAAATATTATACTGAGAACTGTTGGGCAAACCCAGTTGATCTGTGAAATTCTTAGCCAGATAAAACCAGAATCCTTGCTGCATATCAGTTATTGGTATCTAATATTGTAAAATATCTTCCAACAGGTGTGAATCACTCTCCCACCAACGTGTTCTGCTCTTCTCCAGGGATAGTTTTGAATATGACCCAAGTTTTGAACATCTATCAACTACCACCACCAAGGAAAACATGGATTGTGTTCACAACATGGTGATGGATAACAGGTGATTGATTATAAATCCAATAGTCAATGCTATTAGCATATCCTGTGAGAGAGTTGTGAATATTCTGCATAATGAATTTGGCATGATGAAGGTTTATGCTCACCTGATGAAACGCATCATAGGAAAATCTGACATTGCTTGAGGTAGATCCAGCTGGTTTCCTTGAACATTTCCTAACTAGGATGAGCATTGGGTTCATCACATTGAACCAGAGACAATCCATGTAGTGGAAACCCTCCTCCTCACTTGCTCCAAAGAAGGCCAAGGTTGTTTTATCTGCAGGGGAGGTGATTGCCTCAGGTTTTGGGGATGCAAAAGGCATTGTTTATTGACTATCTTCAAAAGTGTCACACCATCAATAGCTTGTACTATGACAACTTGCTGAGGCAGTCATGAAAGACTATCAAAACCAAACACCCAGGAAAACTGATGGAAGGTGTCTTGTTTCATCAGGACACTGTTCCAGCACACATCCTTGGGTTTATGTCACATTGAAACATTGGTTCCCGTATGATCACTGAAATTAAGTAACATTGAGCTTGGTCAGTACCTACTTGGGTGACTGCTTGGGAATATCAGGTGCTGTAAACTTGGATGTGTAGGTGGTGTAACAGATAATGGCTTGGAATTGTTAATTAGAGAGCTGAGTTCCAATTCCTGTTGGTTTTGTTATAGACAAGCATATGGTTGCAAGAAAGAAATACAACAGCAGAAATAGATTTATGTGATTTATTTCAATATGATTGTGTGGGTTTGGGACAGCTACCTTGTGGTATAGTTCATAAGCCGGCTGCTGATCTGGGTTGATCTCTCATAGTAGTTCTCACTGGTTGGCATGGCGCTCCTCCTGCTGCTGACTGCCCAGACTGACCGTGACAGATCTCTTCCCTGGCCTCCTAACAGGCTCGAAAAACGACGTGAGTATAATTAGGAGGGAAGCATTTTTATTGGTTGAAAAATAGAAATACTTTAAAATATTATTTTATTTTTCGACCAGTACTCGTGCGTCGGGCCTATGTGCAAATGATGATAATGGTCATTTTGTGATGGAGCCTTGTCCCATTCCCAACTGGCTCTTGCTCTTGAGTATGTTAATTTATTTGCCTGCAAATCAGCTGAGATATGTCTTATTTTATTTTATAACAGTTTCATTATATTTTTATATGCAAATACCCTTGCACAAGGTATGAACTCACCACTTCTCTCCCAGCTATTGCATAATTAGTAAGACTTGTACCCCTAAACCATTATTAACTACCCCACCAAATCTTACAATCTAAAAATATTTTCTGCAAAGGGTTGATATAAGCCATAGAAAATGAATCAATAAACAAGTCCTATGTTTTAACGGCTGCAGTGTGTGGCTTTGAACTTGTTGATCACACACCCTATTCTTCTGATTTGGCCCCATCTGACTAATGTCTGTTCCCCAACAGGAAAAAGCACTTGGCTCGGAGCCAGTATCACAGTGATGATGATATAACTGCTGATGAAGAATTTTTTGACCAATACGATGAAAGCTTCTTTACCAATGGAATCCAAGCATTGCAATAATGAGGAAGAAGTGTGTGAATCACAAGGAGGCTATGTTGAAAAATAAATCTCATTTCGTAACATCCCATTGGTTTCCTTGGTCATCCTATGAACTTTTCAGCTGGCCTTCATATAAGCTCAAGTATAAAGCAGAATTTTCAATACTGATTTTCAAGGCATGTAAGCTTTCCCCTCTTGGTAGACTGATGCAACACAATCTTCTTTCATGCTTACCTCACATTTGCCCTGTACTAGATTAAGCTTAGTAAATATCTAGAATATAGGCATGGTACTTTTAGATATATTCTGAATTCTTTATACTTTTATAAGTTATATTTACTTACCAAGACTTTTAAAGATGGTGGTTTTGGACCTGTACCCCACTTTTGATCCTGCAATAACTTCACCAATTTCTGCATAAATTTCAGCCTAAAAATACATAATTCCAAATTTAAATTTTATTCAAATTTTGCTTACCCTATAAGAATTTTTAGGATATTTTTATCATAAACATTTTGCAAATGAATTGCTAATTGCTTTTCCCCACTATAACTTTCAAATATTGATTCATTTTAATCAAAAACACATTGAATTTGGCAAATTTCCATTACATATTTTTTCATAAATCATTTGCAGAATAATTTTACAATTAAGTATATATATATATATATATATATATATATATATATATATATTTAAATAAATATATAGAATAGTAATTTAAATATAAAATAAAGATATAAAATATATAGATATTTTTATTTTTACAAAATAGTGCTCAATGTAAATTTACAGAGCATTAAATTATAAATTAATTGATTTAAAATATGTTTTTTTTCCTGCTACACAGTTCTAACCATGTTTCAAAAATGAAAGCTAAAAGGCACGAATTTAATTTTGCAATTAAATTAAAGACATTAGTTCCATTTCATCCTCAAGCAAATTTTGGAGTAACTTTTAAAATTACTGGGTTTTAAAGACACAGCTAAAATCACGTTTCCATGGTTACAGATAAATCTACTTCAATTGGACAAGGGTTGTCTGGGTTTTCCTTATGTCTGTATCATTGTATCGGTTATGAGCTACATAAAAAATCCAGACGACATGCATTCAACGGATGTCAGTTCTCATTGAAAAATACATCCCTACCCCTTACCAAGATGTAGCTACATTTTTGGTAAGGGGGATTGTCAATGAAGTAGATTTATCTGTAATCATGGAACGTGATTTTAGCTGTGTCTTTAAAAACACAGTAATTTTAAAAAGTTACTCCAAAATTTTTTGAGAATGAAATGGAACTAATGTCTTTTAATTTAAAAAAATAAATTCGTGGCGTTTAGCTTCCATTTTTGAAACATGGTTAGAACTGTGTAGCGGAAAAAAAAACCATTTTAAATCAATTAATTTATAATATATATATATATATATATATATATATATTTCTAAATTAAAATATTTTTAATGCATTTTAACAATAAATAACTAACTTATTTCTGATATATACCTTCAGTTAATAACTTAGTCATCAGAAATAAAATGATTTTCACCAAATAATAACTATAAGAGAAGAAGTGAAAATAGACTTGACTTTGGAATTAATAATGTCTCCACTTCCATTTTTTGCTATGTCAGTGTCTTCAACATAAACCATAGAAGATTGCATCAGTGCTGGATCCAATTCTTGCCAAGTTGGTTTACAAGCACCAACAGCTGGAAATAACAAGGATAATTATATATATATACACACACATAAGTTGGGAATATAATATAGATTGTAATCTGACAATAAAATAAAGAACAAATAGGACATTTTTATCAATATATAATCATTTCCGAGTTGTTATCTTATTATATATATATATATATATATATATATATATATATTGAATTAAAAGTATTTACAGTTAATTGAATATAAGGAAAAAGATCAAGAAATATTTCTTGTGAAGATTTTGAGAAAAGAAGTATGTTTTCTTTTATCAAGCTTATATAAATTCATAAGTAGATAACCTGCTCATAAAATGTTTTTATTGATATTGTTATGAATTTATATTTTTTTGTAAATTCCAGAAAACAAATGTATTACAGGCATACCTAACCCTACGTCATTAATTGGTTTCATGACTCAGGTTTAAAAACGAGTTAAGTCAAAATAACCACACTATAAAGTGCAAATAAGCACTCTTCATTGCCTGTTACATATTTATGATATGCACATACAGTATTCTAAATAAAATAATTAATTTCCACCTTAACTTCCAACAATATAGCCTTACACTTAGCACTTGCACTGGAACTTTTCTTTGGAGCCATGGGTAAAAATGTGTTCTAAATCATAATTGAAATTTAATTGAAAGAATGTCAATAGCAGAGCACAGATGTAAACAAGTCTGTATTCAAAACTTGTGTAGGAGCAGAAAACAATGCACAAATGCTGTCTGTCAGCAGGAATTTAAAATAAGGACATCTGCTGAACATTCTTTATTATGCTAATTGATTTTTGCTTTTGATGATTTTATGATATATATATATATATATATATATATATATATATTATTTTAAATTTATTTAAATATGATTTTATGTGTTTATTGTCATTTTAGTGTTTTGTCGTTTCTAAGATTTTTAACATCTGACATAAACTCAAATAAAATGACCTAATGCGAGCTTTATTTTTCCATATATTATTTAAGAAAAACCAAAGTATCTTTGAAAATGACTTAACTCAAAATGACTTAAGGCAAGGTATCACTGTATTTTCACAACTGGTACAAGTTAAAATAACAATGACATCAATATTTAACCAACCATTAATGTGAGCTCCTTTCTTAACCCATTCTGCCTTGAGAATTGGTTGAGTAGCTGTTGTTACTGTTACTATTATATCAGCATCAAGTACTGCTTCTTCAATACTGTCACATGCTTCAGCACCAATCTCAGAAGATAGCGTTTCAGCAGTTATTCGTCTTCGACTCCATACCTTTACCTGTTAGTGAAGTTTTTGTTTAGATACATAAAAAGCAAGGGTAATAAAAAATTTTAAAACTACACATAATCCTATAAACATTATAATTAAAAATGTGTGTATATATATATATATATATATATGAGAGAGAGAGAGAGAGAGAGAGATAGATAGATATAAAAATAAAATGTTAATGGTCAGAGTTGAATTAAACCAGGAAGCAATAGTATTAAAAAAGTGCTGAATATAAAAAGATAAAAATTTAACATGTAGAGCTTTTAAGTATAGAAAATTAGATCAGCTGATTCCACTACCTTGGTTTCAACCTTTCAGTATCTTCAGGCAATTTCAGTTATATATATATATATATATATATATATATATATATATATATATATATATATAAAATTTAAGGATGTTTGATGAATAATATGGACATATTATCTATTTTATTTTAATTCTCTCAGATTCTTAGATCAACTTCTTAATGTTGATATTAAATTCATTAAGAAGGGTGCCATAGTTTTTTTCATTTCTTTTATTTTTCTAAGTACTTTCAATCTCATCCAAGATCATCTTCAGGGGTCAATTGCTGAAACAAAAAATAAATGTAATTGATAGTTGTGAATTTTTTTGTAAATGTGCATAACACACTCTGTTATAAACATGTATGAATTTACCAAAAAATAAAATCTGGACTAGTCATGTGATTCTACCTCAGAGTTCTTAGAATATATAGCCTGGAATATCTAAATGAAGAAGGGAGATATATTGAGAAAACTTTCAAACTTCTCCAATATCCACATCATTTTATCCTCAATGCAAAAAAAAAAAACAGCTTCCAAAATCCACAATACCAAAAATCAGACACCACCAATAACACTTCTAACGAAAATTACACAAAAAAATTCATAATCCTGCCCTTGCAAACAAATTAGTCATCTCTAATACTAGCATCATTACCACCACCTTCAAGACAATTGGAGATATAATTAGGAAGAAAAAAAATACTGTTTCAAATGCCAGGATTTATCAAATAAATTGTTTATAATGCAAAAATGTTTATATGGGGAGACATCACATGATCTAAAAGCTTGCATCTACAAACACAAGAGAGACTTGCATTTGAGACAATTGATGTAACTTCTTTTGCATTGAAATGATGCTGGACATAATTTTGATTTTACTAATGCCAGCCTTATTAAAAAAGAACAAAATTCTTTAAGGAGAAAATATATTGAAAACTTAATGACATTATTACTAACTATAAACACATGCCTAAAACATTACATCGCCATCCTTTTTGAATCCATTCTTAAAGAATCTAACTTATATCTATCTAATACAAAGAATACATTCTTAAAGAGGTGATCCATAAATTGGAACCTTATGACTCTCACTGCATGGGTTGACTGCACAAATGTGAAGATAAAAAAACCCTAATAGACAGACACACACACATACATAACACACACACAATTACACATTACTATCCAATGCCCACTTAAACATACAAGAATCTTCACAAAACTACATACACAGAATTATCCACGGTTTTAATACATGTGACACATGTCTGATCAATGAGAATGGACCCAAATATAATTGAAAATACCAGTGTTTTCTGTCTTTTTGTTTGTTTTCTCTCAATCTCTGATGAAACTTGTTATATTCCGTGCTAATAGGAATATATACTTGAAAACATGGTCGATAAAATAAGTAAAAACCAGTGCAATAAGAAATAAGGTAACACTTATGTGCATCGTCGTTGCAAGTCAATCCAGTAGTGAGTGCTACTATTGAAAGGTTGGGAGTTCTCGCATAAGTCTAAGTCGAACTCAACAGATCCCAGCTAGACTCTGTAGTCTGTTGACTTACCGATACTTTTAGGTAGTTACTACCTATGGTGTAGTTACTCATGAGGGGTGACAGCTTATACAATTACATCAAAACTTTAATAAAAGTAAAACATATTAGATTGATAAACACTTCCTATTTCTTCTTTTGTTTTAACATCCTGTTGGATTCCAATCCATATTTGATCTGCATTTAATCTTTAACTTTATATATATATATATATATATATATATATATATATAGAGAGAGAGAGAGAGAGAGAGAGAGAGAGACATCCACAGACAGACTGTTTCATACTCCTCAGTGCGGCTACACATCCGGTTCAGCTAGCATCAGTCGGAGATTCTAACCCCTAGGCTATTGTAAACTCTGCAAGTGTGTAAGAATTTCTATAATAAAAAAAATGTAAAATTATATAAAAGTAAAGGGTTGTAGGGAAGTTATATCTCTGAGTAAATCATTATAAACTCCCTAACATTTATATATACAAAAATACTTGTCAAAATGAGAAACACCAAGACTTGAAAACAACAAAATGAGCATTATTTATTATCTGGTTGTTATGTGGTGTTGAAGAAATGAGCGACAGTAATACTGAGTAAAATTGTGAGTTGGGAGTCAAATGAAGATTAAATATGGATTGGAATCTGACAAAAGGATAAGATAAAGAATAAGTAAAGTATATACAGTCTTTCTTGTATGTTTTTTTTTTATAGATGTGTGTAATGAGTGTCCAGATAATTTAGTTAAAAGTTTCTGGAGTTTTCTTACCTTGAATTTTTGTTAAGTGCTAAAAGGTAAATGTTACTATTAAAGCTTGAAAAAGGAAATGAAATTTTCATTGGCACACGTTTTGATGGCCTATCTGTGTGAACTACTTGTTCAATAGTGATGTCATGTGTGTAAAGGAGAAAGGTGGGGTCAGAGGGGTTTACAATGAGTGAATTAATGATAATTATAATTGTTATAATTATTTTATTATAATTATCTTTTTCAACACAATAATTTATTTTTATTTATTTATTTTTTATGAACACTACAGGGTAAATAAAAAAATAATAGAATAGGTTTACTTATTACACATTTTTCTTAGTGCAGTGTTTAAAAATATTTATTAAAATAAGAAAGTTAAACAAATTCTTTAAATAAAATTCTTTAATAAAATTCTTTAAATAAAAACTGCTAAAATTAAGCCAAGTAGTAAAAAATAGCTTGAATAAAATTTGATGTGTAAAATTTTGTATATGTGAAGCTCAAATTAATGTTGTAAAAGAACTGCCAAAATGAAATCTAATGGATTACAAAAATATATTCATCTTGATCCCCACAAAGCATGTGGACCCAATGGCATTTTAACAGTCATTAAGAAGTGTGCTCCCAAAATAGCTCCTGTATAATAAATGGCTGGCTACCTCCTGCTTTCCTGCTTGTTGGAAGTCATCATCTCTTGTTTCAGTTTTCAAGTTGGCAGCTGATTTCAAAAATAACTTCAATCTGTTGTTAACTGGGACAAAGAATAGATTGTTAATTTTAATGACTCCAAAACAAGACTGCTCTCTTTTAATCCTATGAGAGAACTTATTTTATCTTCCATCAGCATGGCTGATGCTAACCCTCAAAAGAGTGACTCGTGTCACCTATGGGAGAAAACATTTTCTTCTGACACAAAGTAGAAAGATTATATTGAATCAATTACTAGGTCTGCTGTTAGAAAATCAGTTCACTGTGCTGTGCTAGACAATTTTTTTTGCTAGAATCTATCTTATATATTTATAAGTCAATCATTCATCCATGCATTGAATATTTCTGACACACCTTGTTTGTTGCTTTTGCCATGTATGCAGAAATTCTTGATAAAATACAAAGTGGAATCTGTAATGTTATTGGTCCTGAACTGGCATCTCAGCTTCAGTCACTTTCCCACCACCATAACATAGCTTCTCTATACCTTTTCTATAAATAATTTCATGGTAATTATAGAATTTTTCTTTATGAATTTAAACATAGTACTAGATTGGCACAAGGTTTCATCATTTTACTGTTGAAATGCCTAGATGCTAACTGACATCCATTAAATGTGGCATGTGGAACTAGAACTGTCTACCCCAGTGAGCGAAATAAAGGGTTCAGTTCGACATTCCAACCACCTGAAGAAGGCCGAAGCATACAATGACCGAAATATAATAAATATGGCGAAAAAGGTGAGGACAATAGTCCAAATAATGTAAATAATGTTTCTTCTCTCACACTTCTCATTTGTGGAACTCTTTTCTAACTTCTTGCTTTCTGGTCAACTTTTATCTTCAAAAATTTAAATCCAGTACCAATCATTATTTTGTGTCTTCTTAATTTCTGTTCATTTAGTGTTTTTTTCTCATATTATCTCATAATCAGTAACCCCTTGCATCTTAGTGGCTTTATTGACTAGCTTCAGGTGAAAAAAATACACATAAAATTTTGCTTTCAAAACTTCAAAACTTGTAAAGAGGCTAAAGTCTGATGGTCAAAACCCACCTAAATAAAGTTTGCAAACAGCTATGGTTTAAAGAGATACATTCTGTGATTTTTTTAACCAATGGGAAAAATAAGTTATGACCCCAAAGTATCAAATTTCTGGTACAGATGGAAGCTAATATGCTGTTGTTTAAGTAGCTTGGTTGGTCTATGAACCAGAAGGGTTTTGTGTATACAAGGAAGATGTCAGCTGGTTCTGGGAGCTGAACTTAGATGAAGAAGAAGAGAGCAAAAACAGGAAAGTCTTCAGCTTTCACAAGGAAGACATCTATTTGTTCTGGGATAAAAGGAAAACTAAAAGCCACTACTGACTAAGACAATGATGAAAAGAAAGAAGATGAAAGAAAAAGAAACAGAAAGAAAGCAAAGGAAAAGAAAGGAGAAGATTTTACAAATTAGATATAGAGAGATATATATGACTATCTTTCTATAGTTCTTGGTGACAAAATTAGAATTATTAACCCTTGATCCTCTAAGTAGGGATGGCCTGGCAATGTTGGAAATCAATATCTGAAATTTTAACCTGGGCTTGATCACATTTGGAAATTGTAGAAAATGCATGACTGCTTTAGTCATCACAGACCAGCCTATGCATATTCTTAATCCTAATGGATTAAATTATACAAAGAAATTTCTAACTTATTGTAGAGCCAATGATTAAAATTCCTATCATTAGTTCATGGGTTAACATGAAAATAAACACAAGATTTCCATAAGAAAATTTATAGACATTATTTAACAAGAGAAAATTTCTTGACAGAAAATGCAAACATCTGATGGCAGGGTTATCCTGTTTCTTCCAAAAGAACTTACCTTTTTGAAATTATACAAAAATGTTAGTGCTTTGTAATGAGATCTGGCTTGTACTCCTGCTCCCAAAATAGCCAGTGTTTGTGGTTGCAAAGGACTGAGGAACTGAAGAATAACCAAAAATTATAAATTGTATGAATTCTTTAAGATTTATTCTGATGATGAAACTGATAGAGAATCAAAACTTTGTATTTGAATTCCATTTTCAATTTTGATTTTATTTGAAGTTTTGACCTGGATTTTCATTTGAGCTTTTATTCTTTTATGTTTTTGCTAAGTTGTTTATTATTATTCAAGTACCATTTTTAATCTCAATTGTGAATTGAATTTTCTTTTAATTTCCAATTCATGTTTTCATTAAATTTCTTCCATCTCAATTTGCAATTTTTCAACAGAAATACTTTTTCAAGTATTAATTGAGATTTTGTTTCATACTATATTAGATTACTTGTCATTACGTCCTAAACACACTTCAAGCCTTTTACTATTTGTGAATGCAAATAAGTTTTATTCTAATGAAAAGAAATGTGTTTATTTTTTATTTTATTTTCCTCTTTTTTTTCCACAAAGAACAAATTATTTGCAAGGAAAAATCTACAAAATATGACATGATGCTTCTTATCATTCAGAGAATGTTTGTCATTTACAGTAGCAAAAATATTTCTTTAAGGATTCAAACCATCTCAGATCTTTGTTTATTATATCTTCAATCTAGCATTATTCAAACCAATTTTAAAATTTCACAAAACAAAATTAGACCATAAAATTTAAATCATGAATAAATAAATGTTATGTTTTAGTTATTTGGAAAACTGGATAATAAAAAAATAAGTTGTAATATTACTTTTGTGGCCACTGCAGAAACTGCTGCTGTTCTCATTGCAGTAATATAAACACCATCCATTAACTAAAAAAAGCAATAAGAAAAGATATTTTATCTAGAATAAACATTGAAAATCGTTTTTTGCTTTTAACTTTTGGAATAAGCTTGAAAAATATCATATTTAATATGAATTTTTATAACTTTTTTAAACCATGAAAATTCATGAGTTGATGACAATATTAAGAGATGGTCATAAATTTAATTTAAAAAAGTTACAAATCATTTTAATCTATCACAAAATATTTTATAGAATGAATTTTACAATTTTATGTAATATTTTTATTTTATGTTGATACAGATAAAAAAAGGAAAAACAAATATCTAACAAAAACTTTGAAGAAATTTCAATGTAGAATATAAGCAAAACATTTGAATTGTAGACTTTAAATTGCAATATCCAGAAGATTATGTCAAAGCATTTCCAAAAAGGCATGGCTTGTGAGGTGCTTTCATTCAATTTTAGTGAGTACCTATCAGGAGTAATTTGAGGAGAGAAAAAAATTCAACAACTACATTGAACTGTTGTTCCTTGTTTGTTCCTTTCTTTTTCAACAAAGACTTCTTATAACATTCTTACTAGTAGAAATTTTACAAAGCTTACACTGAGCAGTTTTCCATTTGTGCTGTCAAAAAGAAGAATGGCTGCATCATGACTCGGAATATCAACATTGTCTGGAAAAACTGTCACCAGTTTTGTTGCAATGATCTTGTCAGGTTGACTGTAGCATGGCATAACCAAGCAAAAACTAAAATGGAAAATATAAAAAATATATTTTTATAACTGCACATGCACACACATACAATAATAGGCCAAAATTTATGATTACGCCACCGGAAGTACTCCACAGTGAATAAGTGAACTGTGAACATTATGGCAGTAAGGGCGGACGAATGACCAACAAAAACTTTTTTTTCTTGTTGATAACTCCATAATTTAATTGTTAATTCGAGTTCAGCATGTACATTTACACAGCATTATGACGATTTGGGAAAATTTTAAGAGACATTTTTTTCAGTTAAAAAGCAAATTTGCCAGACAAAATTTATCTTAAATATTCTTTTTATATTTAAACTTTTTTTGTGGTGTGGCATCAGTAGTAATCGCACACTCTACCCAAGTGTTTGTGAGACAAGTGTCTTTTTTTTTTTTTGTTAGTATATTGTAATTTCTTTTTATACCGTGTAAGTGTTGTCCGTATGTTGTGCAGGCTCATCGCTAGAGAATATTTTTTTGTTGAGTGTGTCTATGTGTGTGTGTGTGGTGGGGGGTCTTTAAATCAGAAAGGCCGCAAATATGAATTTACACTTTACAGTTACACACAAAAATTAGCATTTTCACGGAGGAGAGGCAAATGATTTACTTTGATGACGATGTTGGGGAGTGAAAAATAAATAAATAAATAAAAGAAGTACAGTGAGGTCATATGGAAACGGAAGAGAGGAATCCAATACATAGTTTTTTTTAGAGGTACGTGTTCATGTGTAAATTTAAAGAAAAATCATAAATGTCGATCACTTTTGAATACAGAATCCATATGGATGGTAGTACTGGATAAGACCACGTTGGGGCTTTTAGTGTTAAGAAATAACAAAAATAAATAAATAATCATCTAATTGACTTTTACCCGTTGTGTTCTTTTATGTCAATCAAAGTTTTTGAAGGTTGCATAATTGTTGTGCCTTTTCCCTCAGAATAATCTCTTAGCGTCATCTCAATGATCGGGATGAGATCTTCATATTTTAGTACTTTCGAGATTTCCTCAGCGGTAATAAATCGAAGATTAGACATTTTTTCATATGTGAAAAATGAGAAATAATCGTAAAGCGGTGTCAACAACGAACAGAGATGAAAAATAAGAAGAGACTTGCTTTTTAAATGTTGGAAATAACTACCACTGTTTTTTGTTAAAGTGTTATTATCTCTAAAAAACCTGGGCACTGAATTAATTATGACGTAGACATTATCTATTTGTTTTTTTTTTATGTTTAAGAAAGTTGATCTGAAAATCAAAATTAATGGAAGTAGGCTCCGCTAAACTGATTTGGGTTATCACCGACAAGACATCCTACCCACTGCTCGTACTTTACCAGATACGCTACAAGTTGGCAGTCAGAGTCAAGATAGCGATTATTTATTACGAAACAAATGGTTTAAATTTCCTAAACTTTTTTTTAACAGAAAGGTCATACCTCACTTAATCTCGCACGACTTACACATTAGAAAGAAAAAGATATGACAGCTTTAGAGAGACTATTAGAAATAAAAATTAAAATCATTTTTGTCACTTGTTTTTGTCACATTTGATTTTTTGATTTATTATTTAAAATAAAAACAATATTTTTTAAAAGTTACAAGATTGGGTGGTGGAGGTTATCGTATGACAATGGCCAGTCCCATCATAGATCATTTTTTGGCCTAAATGTAAAGATTGAAAAAACAAAAAAGCGTTCTTTTTTATTTTTTACGTTCAAAGGGTCGCATATTTTCGTCCAAAAAAAAAAGGGTGAGCATATTTTAGCTACCACCAAAACCAAAATGGATACGTTTTTTTCCGCAATGAAAGTAAAATAAATCACGCACCCGTTTTGAAATATTTGCCAAAAATCAGGGAATTATCCGATTCAAATGAAATTTTATTCATTAATTAAATGACTATTTTTATGATACTATTTGTCGTTGTCGCGGTAAAACAGAAGAAAGTTTTGTTAAAACATAAGAAAGTGTTATGTACTGAGAGACATTGAAACGAGAAGGGTTAATACCGAAAACCTGTGGGAAGAATTGAGGATTTAATTCACACATAAACAACTTGAATTGTATGTCGAGCAGTTTGAACAATGAAAAATTGACCCAGACTTAGGGGGAAATGATGATTAAAGTGTGTTCTAAGCAGCTGAAAATGCAAGCCATCAAGCGAAATTTTCATTTTTTGTAAACAACGAATTTGGAGTTGATTCCCCTGGTCGAAAGTTGAGTTGGAATACCAGGAGTGGGTGGATAATCCACCCACGCTCACTGAGGTGATTTAGTGAGAGTTAATAATATGACAGAGTAGAAGAAAGGAATTCCCCAGAATTATCGAATTCTCTTACTTCGCCAGTTTGGGAGAATGTCCATAAATACGAATGCGCGAAGCGAATTGAGTAGAAGAGAGGCAGAAGAGACGGAGACGAAACCAGAGACAGAGAGAGGCCCACGTGATTATATCTGCCGACGAAAGCCTCCAACTTCAGCCTTGTACCAAATTTTGCCAAAGCTGCAAACTAAACTTTGCTAAGTCAATAACGATAATATCACTTCCGATTTAGACGCGTGTTGGGCGAATTCTGATATAAAACAATTATTGTACGGAGGATTGATATAAAAACAGTATTTTTACTTTTGTTCAATTTATTCGAGTGTTATTTTTTCCTGTGCGTCTTCGCCCTGCTTGGACCAGCCCGACACGAAGAGATACCTGTGACGATTCGATCTTGTCCTCCTTACGATCAAAAATCACAACGTGTGATAGGGCAGGTCTGAGATCGAAGCGATCTTCATCGATCAGTCGCGATGGTGGAGGACGACCACCCAGGGTGTTGTACGATTACATTTTACAGAATAGGGTATTTTATTAAAAAAAAAAACCCAACAAAAAACAAACTTTGGGGAAATATTCTTTGGAGGTATGTTTCGCACCGCCTTTTCTAGTGTTAAGACTAAGAGTATAGGTTTTTTCCCTCGGTATACCTATGTTTGAAATGAATTTTCATAAATTAAATTATGAAATTGAATTTCTTGAAGCTTTCATGAAAATGAATTTCTTGAAGCTTTTATTTTATCTTTAATTGAAAGTTAAAGGATTAAATTTACTATTTTCAGTAAGCCAAATACTCTGTAGTGTATTTCAAACTGAAATTCTGTTGGAGCCGATTCATTTTTTGGCTATAAATAGATGATTAATGCACCTTTTTTAGCTATCTGTTATCGCAATAAATTTTTCTTTATTAAAAAATCTCCCAAAAATAAAATATACTTTTCTGAAACTTTATTTGAGGAATGTGATTTAATGTGTAATTAATCTGATTAAAAAAAATTACTTTAAGTTGAAAATAACAGAAAAAATGGATTTTTAAAACAAACAGTGGCGGTCATTAAGCGCTTGTCAAGGGAAAAAATTTAATTTTTTTATGTGTAAAACGTTCCCATTTTGAAAGTATGGCTAATCATACACAGCATTAACAGAAATTATGATCGATGACTATATTAAATTTAAAGCCAACATTCCTAAAATTAGATTACGGAGAATATTCCCAACATTTTAAAAATTACTGGGTACTTAAAAATTATATAAAAAAGCGTTCAGCAATCATTTTCTTAAATTATGTTTTAACAGATAGTTTCTGTAAAACAATAAAACTGTCAACACATTGACATACTTTCAAAATGGGAACGTTTTAAACATAAAAAAATTTAAATTATTTTAAAAATCTTGGTGCATGATGATTTGTATAAAGGTTTTCAAATTTCGCTTCGTAAATACAGTCTTCACTTTTAATAAACTAACGAATTGGTACTTTTTAAAAGATTAATTTAAAAAAATGAAAATTCTTGTAAAAATTCACTATTCATCTATTTTTTTTCTTCAAACTATAGTGTCCTTAATACATATTATTTATAAAAACAAAAGATTATATAATTAAATAATGTCATAGTTTTGTCGGAGTTAGCTCCTCCTCAGCTCCTTAACCCTTCACCAGGGGTCTCTCTCCCCTGGCTATAAATACCGGCTGACCCTTCGCCTCGATCTCTTTTTTTTCTCAGGCCTTCAGCCTTATACCACCTCGCAGATGTGAGCTCTCACAGATACAGCGTTTCCAAAATGCTGGGAACACGCTAAGAACAATACACGTACGTACGAACACTCACCACAACACAACACACCTAATATTCACCACACGCACTCAATGTAACTGTCCATGTACTTGTAACCTGTAACTTGTACTTGTTATTAATACATATATTTGTTTACATATATTTATCGGTCTTGATTGTTTTTCCTTGTTTTCTTTGGACTTAATTAAAGTCCAACTTTTTCATGTAGTTGGAGCGGCTAGCAAGAAATTTTAACTCACGTGTGGTCTTCTACATACACATCACCCAACGGTGCGCTACAGTTTTATTGCAGTTTTTATTTTACGGTTGGGAGCAGGTTTTCGGGAACTGAGTAACTGTTTAAAAAAACGGATGATTTACATACCCCAACGAGTCCTGCGTTTAACTTTTAGCGTTTAACTTCTACCTAATTATAATATTATTTTGACTCGGTGAATTCTATTGTTTGTAACATCAATTCAATTTTCATGTAATATTTCTCTTGACAACAAACTTTGTGCAAACTAAACGCCAAGCTGATCACAGAAGCTTTCGACTAAAATTCTGGCTATTATATGTTAAAATTTTTACAACGCCTACGCAGTTTTGTTCAAAATTATTTTACCGCCAAAAAGTTTCTGAATAGAACTAAATATGTTCACGAGCCGGCCACATGACCTATGTTGCAAAGTTAAGAGTATTGATTTTTTAAAAAAATTATCAGGAGGCTTTTTTATTATTTTTGGTTAATTGTAGCTGATTAGTCTGCGTGAAGAAAACTTTACAAACATTTAAATTTCGTTGTTCGCTTCATATAAGGTCAATAATAACATTCTCAATAAGTGACAAAATGACAATATGAGATATTTGAATTTATATATAGAAATTTACGTTTGTTGTTGCTGAAATAAAACTCAGAGAGATTGTGTCTTTTGGAACTTTTTACGTTTTTCTTTTGTTTGCTCTCATGAAAGTTTCACTACTTTCTTTTAAAAGGTATTGTTCATAATAATTTCTGTGACAGTGAATACTACACGAAACCGTCTTTTGGTTTGGAACATTTCAGTCAATATAAGATTGGATGTTTTGATTTGATTCTTTTTTGTAAGACAGTTTTTAAATTGCAAAATACTGTTCTTTTAAAACAAAGCAGTAAATTTCGCTCGTTAGAATATTTTTATAAAACGAACAAAGTTGTCTGCCTTTAACTGTGAATGGTTTCGCAAAGAAGTTTCCTTTTTTATACTCGTTATAATTACATCGCATATTAAGAAATAGAATTTAAAATAAGAAATTCGCGAATGAATGAATTTAACATATGTTGTGAGCCTGGTATGCGAATTTGCAAGATTTGTTACTGAAATAGAATTATCACTTGATATATTTTTTTCTTTGTGAAATGTGTCAGGTATTTTTTAGAAAAGGTTGTAATTTGAAATTGAGTGAGTGTGTGAGAGAAAATTTTTTTTTTAGTACATTACTTGTCGAGCAGTTTTTAGAAGAGTAGATGCAGGTTCTTTTTTGTAGTGAGCGTTGAAATTTCTGATGCAGTATTTGAGAAAGGTTTGTTTGGTTTCACTGTATTCGGCTGCGATTCTCACGAAAAGTTTCAGGTTGGAAGCTTCTGGTCTCACTGGTGCATGATTCGCGCGCACTAGTTTCTATACCTTCTTGGATCACATGGTTGCCCAAGAAAAATCGTTAGAATCGTTAAATTCTAAATAATGCGTAGGCGTTATACAGTTTTTAATTAATACTAGCCACTGATTGGATGACACTACTTTTGTATACATTTTTAAGCATAAAAATTTATC